TCATGGAATTCAAGTTGGCGCACCCCAGAGGACGTGAATTCACTGGGGAGGAAGAACCAGGCTATAATTCATCACATTTAACCTCTACTGGGACTAAAGGGAGAACCTGAACTTCAGTATTCAGCACATCTCGTTTTAGTTTGAGAAGAAAAACCTTCATGATGAAAAGGTACTGATAGTCAATTTTTTTTCAAAAGAAATGTGACATCCAAACAGTGTGGTTATGTTAAACTTGATGGATATTGTTTATGAATTCTTACATTTTCCATAAAGGCTTTTAAGCTAAAGTTAATTAATGCAAACTGTGGTTTACCGTTTTTATTACCATAAGCCAGGGGTCGGCAACCTTTTTGATATGAAGTGCTATTGCAAAAAAAAATAGTTATCAGCGTGCCGACGATCGTGAATTATCAACATGAGGGCGGGGGGAGCCTCGCTGCGGGGAAGCAGTGTGTGGACATGTCAGCGCAACTTACATGATGCCGAATATTTAAACACATTTAAATAATTGGTTTGAACTGCATAATAATAAGGACGATCGTCCGTTCTGTGATTCTCCAGAACACACATGTTATGATATTAAGGTCATGCAGAGTGAGATGAGATCGATGTCCCTTTAAGAGAGAGAGAGGGGTGTGGCGTGTGCATGTGTGTTTGTGGATGGTAGAGCGAGCGTGTGTATGTTTCTGGAAGTGAAACGAGGCAGCAGAAAAACAGAGGTCTGTGATGTATTTTGTGAAACAGAAGAACAGCTAAATAAATGCAACGGCCTCTCCAGTCATTTAAGCTAAAGTGGGTTATTGAACCTTAAGCTTGTTGCTTCTGCCCTCCTCGACTACGGTCTGGGAGCCGACAGGAAAGTTTCGTTGCGGCGGATTCGTTCAGGATCCGAAAATACAATTTAAATATTTTGTACACTTATTCCACTTATTCCTAGTGTGCCACTGGTTACGGTGCCGCGTGCCAGTGCCAGGGTTTGCCGAATCCCTGCTCTAATGGAATAGCGTACAAATGTGTAATAAGAGTTCTATGTTTCATAATGCATGGCATCCAGACTTGGCCTTGTCATTTAACAAATCTGCTGAAATGTGGCAGTTAGGTGAAAGGCTGACACCAAGTGATAAGTAACGGTTACTACATTATTGCTAAAACATGTGTACAGAGCTGTATTTAGTAACACATATTTTTATAGTGTGAGTATTAAATTGTGTCCATCTCTTGTGAAAAATGTCATGCTGTCAGATNTTCTGCGCTGGGAGACGACAGAGAGTCGTCCCCCCTGTTTCCTCGACTACGGTCTGGGAGCCGACAGGAAAGTTCAACACACAGATGTCCAGTCCGCCCCTTTGTAGCATATTATTTAGATGAGAGATGAGCAGATCGCCACTGGGCTTTCAACTAAAGACACAGCCACGCAAAAACTGCTATATTTGTACAGCTCCTTATGGGTACTGCAATTAGTGAAGTGCTTTCCTCTGTGGTGAAACGATCAGCACTGCACCACGGAGGAAAGCGGCAGAAAGTCACCTGGAGTTAAAGAGAGCGGGGCTGCGTTGCGTGCATGGCTTCCTTCTGCAGGTAACGGGGAGACGCGCTCTGGCGGCGGTCTCGTTCAGGATCCGAAAATAAAATCTAAATATTTTGCACACTTATTTCTAGTGTGCCACTGGTTACGGTGCCGCGTGCCAGGAGTTGCCGACCCCTGCCATAAGCAATACAATAGGCTTCATTTTCCATATTAAATATTGCCAAATATTTTGTTTGTTTTATAATGGATACAGATACATTTCAACTTAAAATAGGCAAGTACAAGTTAGTAAGACTTTACAGTTTGATATCAACAGTAAATATTGAATTGTAGATATTTATGTGTGCATTATGTATAAGTTCATGTTGTTTTAGTACATCCTTTAAAAAAAGGACCATTGCGTACCTCGTCTTAAAGTAATTTAGATATATTTAGATATAAGTTTGGTTGACAGCACTGGGCAATTCACTATAAGGGGCGTTAAAATCACAAACAAAACAACATAGATCTCATACAGTATAAAAGCCTTTTAAAACCCACCCCACAATATTCAAATCTAACAATAACTTTTAACTTAACGTATCATGGATTACCTACTTAAGAATGCATTTGTTTCTAATTTGCATGCTACATTAAGTCTAAGTATACCGTTTTGTGTTAAGAGCTTTTGAAGCTCTTGTAAAAACTGTACCGAAGCAAAGACTGCTGAGGTGTTCTCAGTATCTGGTGTCTGTCGGTGTCTCCCACTCAAGGCTTAAATCATCACTTGCAGTAAAGATTTATTGATCAGAATCCCAAAGGTCCAATCGAATTGTCCCACTCAGACCCCCAAATGACGTACGAATGGAAAGCAGCCAGGCTCAGAGGGGAATCCCAGTTTTGCGGTTGGATTGTTTTGCTTTACAGGTCTTCAAACAGGAAGAAACCAATATCCTCACAGGTAAACGCATCTCATGAGAAAGTGGAGCTCATTAAACCCCCATTCCTTTCTCTGTTATACTATTATCTCGCTTCCTTTTCCCCTAGCTTTCCTCCATGTCTTTTATCATTCCCTGCCTTAGATTTCCAGCCATTTATTTCTCTCTTAATTTGTCTTTCTAAGCCAAGGCATGTTGAGGAAACAGCCGCAGGGCAACCAGTCAGGTGCATTAATATCCACTCAGCAGACTGCAAAGCTGAGACAAATTCCTCCATCAGGGGAGGACAGGATGCTTCCTGCGGCTAAACAACAAGCTAGCTGATTTAGCTCCGACGTGAAGCATGTGACTTCGGAAACAAACACTTCACGCAATCATCATGAATTAAAGCCTAAAGCCATGCCTCTCTGTCTAGCAATCCACCCACAGTTAATTACATGGAGTCGATCACATTTACATTTATATTAAAGGCTTAATTGATTGGAACCATAGTCAGCGTTAATTAGTTGGGTAATGATACATTCAGATGCGTTTCCTTGTATAATTTTTGGTCTTGTTTCACCAAATCAGTTTTACTCTGAGTATGAGACGTGTTGGAGGCATTTATCTGCCAGGCCATCTGCTCAAGCGTCTATCCGACCCACAATATTAGAAAACTTAAGGAAGACACTTTTCATTACTGCAGCCCACCTTATTAGGGGTAATTTGTGTTGATAACTAAAGGCTCCTACACTGAGGAAATAGGGATCTTGCAGCCCTATTGCATGCAACTCTGAGCAACATGGGTAATAGGACATCTTGGTGCCAATCTGTGTTTTTCGATTCTATATCAAATTTGAGGCCTTTTTTCGGTGGAACATTTTATTGTAAAATTGTTTTGCTTTTCTTTGCCTCCTGTTAAACATAATATATTTGGGTTATTTGCTGTTGGGCAGGCAAAAAAGCTAATTGTGTACATCACATTAGAATTGAGTACACTACTTCTGGTCAACTCAATTAAGAAATGTACTATCTTGGTTTCTGGGAAGAAAGGATTCACTATGGGTTCAGATAGAAGCCAATACCTTTGACCCGTTGCCAGTGGAAACTCTTATAAGAGTTTCCACTGGCAACGGGTCAAAGGTATTGGCTTCTATCTGAACCCATAGTGAATCCTTTCTTCCCAGAAACCAAGATAGTACATTTCTTAATTGAGNTATTAAATAAAGTTAATAATACCGACGTTAGATTAACGTCCCTGTAGCTTCTTATTGCACTAAGAAGCTTATTACACTATATATACAGTGGGGCAAAAAAGTATTTAGTCAGCCACCAATTGTGCAAGTTCTCCCACTTAAAAAGACGAGAGAGGCCTGTAATTTTCATCCTAGGTATACCTCCAACTATGAGAGACAAAATGAGAAAAAAATATTCCAGAAAATCACATTGTCTGATTTTTAAAGAATTTATTTGCAAATTATGGTGGAAAATAAGTATTTGTTCACCTACAAACAAACAAGATTTCTGGCTCTCACAGACCTGTAACTTCTTCTTTAAGAGCCTCCTCTGTCCTCCACTTGTTAACTGTATTAATGGCACCTGTTTGAACTCGTTATTTGCTCGGTGAGCAAAAATCCCCCCGTGTGGTTCTGGGATTTTTGCTCACCGTTCTTGTGATCATTTTGACCCCACGGGGTGAGATCTTGCGTGGAGCCCCAGATCGAGGGAGATCATCAGTGGTCTTGTATTTCTTCCATTTTCTAATAATTGCTCCCACAGTTGATTTCTTCACACCAAGCTGCTTACCTATTGCAGATTCAGTCTTCCCAGCCTGGTGCAGGTCTACAATTTTGTTTCTGGTGTCCTTTGACAGCTCTTTGGTCTTGGCCATAGTGGAGTTTGGAGTGTGACTGTTTGAGGTTGTGGACAGGTGTCTTTTATACTGATAACGAGTTCAAACAGGTTCCATTAATACAGTTAACAAGTGGAGGACAGAGGAGGCTCTTAAAGAAGAAGTTACAGGTCTGTGAGAGCCAGAAATCTTGTTTGTTTGTAGGTGACCAAATACTTATTTTTCACCATAATTTGCAAATAAATCCTTTAAAAATCAGACAATGTGATTTTCTGGCTTTTTTTCTCATTTTGTCTCTCATAGTTGAGGTATACCTTAGATGAAAATTACAGGCCTCTCTCATCTTTTTAAGTGAGAGAACTTGCACAATTGGTGGCTGACTAAATACTTTTTTGCCCCACTGTATATATCTATATATATATACAGTGCAATCATTCTTTCATGCTAAATGAAGCTCTGTTGCTTGGATATCACTAGATCCTGTTACAGCGTAATATAAGTACATAACGATTGATGTGTACATTAGCATAATTACTAGCTAGCCGCTAGCTGCTAACTGCTGCCTCGTTAATATCAAATCCATCATAATAACAAATCATTACCATGCTGTCATGAACGTGTGGTGCTGTTACGTGTACGCAAATTGACGTGCGTGATGTGTGAACGAGCATTTTGGTTAAAGTAGCGCATGCGCTATGAGCACACATTCGGGTACTTCTCAGGCATGCCGGGTAATCTGGGACGTTTCGCTCTCTCAAAAGTTGGGCCATTTTATCATCATGCGCTGTCACTTTGCCAAAAGCCACTGTGTCAAGTGTCCTACTTGGGTTGCCGTCCGGAGTTGTCCAATATGGCGGACCATCTCGCACATGCGCACTGCAGATCGGGCAGAGCTGCAGATCGGGTCGTGACATGCGCCAATGAGCAACTCTCATAGAAATGAATGAGGCCCCGCCTCCCATGCTGTATGCAGTTCTTATTATACATCCATAGCAGAGAAGCGTTGGAAGATTTTTTTTTAAAGCTGCTGTGTGGACGTACCGTTAGTATATAACTGTTTCTAAAATACATTAAGATATCTAGTATCATAAAACAATGTCGATAACATAGAGATATATTGCCCTAGGTTTCATGTGTAATCATTTTACTATTTATATTACATTGCTAAAAATACAACCACTATGAAACTGCAATAGAACAAAAATGATTTAATTCTGATATGTGTAAAATATAATATTTACAGTAAGTTATTGTTTATTTATCCAGTTTAAATAATGAAGAAAAGGTTTTAGTTTTTTTAATCAAAAAGAGTCACAATTACTTACTGGTCTAATGCAGTAACCTGCTTTAAAACCTGCTTTAATGAATATGAGTAGAGTTAGATGATGATGGGTTTAAGTAGCCATCCATAGTCTTTACTATTTACCTTTTTTCCAAGTCATTCATATTGATTCCGGAAAAGACCTTAGTAAAATGATCACAGTTGTTTCCGTCTCTTTGCCCTGACTTTACCCTTTCCTTTCAGGTGAGAGACCCTATAAGTGCTCACATTGCGGGAAGGCTTTCAACCAGAAGGTGGTGCTGCAGACTCACATGGTGCGGCACACCGGAGAGAAACCTCACCTCTGCATGTTCTGCCCGGCCTCCTTCTCCCAGAAAGGAAACCTGCACTCCCACGTCCAGAGAGTTCACTCCGAGGTAAGAGCACAGAGAAACACTCACACCTCAGATATCTCTGTGTAATGAGACACCCTATTTAATGAGCATGTTGAGTATTGCAGTAATAAAATAAACTACAAAACAGTGCTTTTATTTTATTTTAAGAGTGTAAACGAGTTTTCCTTTAATGCAAAATTGTGTGCATTTTTTTATAAAAATTAAACAATGGGTTTAGCACCAGTGTGTACATCGAACAGTGAGGAATTAAAGTGATTATAAAATAGATAAATTGCACATTTTCATAACTCTGTCTTACCGATATGGTAAGACAGGTTTGATACACCCATCACTACACAAATCCTCAGATTTGACGTGTCTTTGGAGTCTTACTGCATTTGTGGGGGGAAATAAAGTTATAATGCCTTTTGTGGCTCCAGAGAAAGTTATGGGAGCTGTCTTAAGGCTACCATTTTAAAAAGAAAAATAATCTGGAGATGTAAAGGCTCATCTCCGCTAGAGGCTACATTATAACTGAAATATAACTTTTTGTAGAAAAAATGGGCCTCATCCACCGAAGTTTGTTTTGAAAGGACCCTATTATTTTCAGCTTCATATTTGTGTTTTCTGCCTCTCCTGTGACATGTCTCCCTGCTTTAATGTTGAAACAGCTCTTTATTTCTCTCATACTGCCTGTGCTGCAGCACCTCTTTTCACCCTCTGACTGAAACCAGAGCGCAGTCCTCTCTGATTGGTTAGCTGGCCGGCTCTGTTGTGATAGGTCAACTGCTCTGAGATGTCCCGCCCCTCAGAGACTTTGGATTTGGTTTTATAAGCCGTGACAACAATAATATACAAAAAAGACACAGGAAATTGGTGCAACCGTACAAAAAATATTCACACATTCTTATCATTTCCGCAGTGCGCGCCTAAAAAGCAAACAAACTGACAGAATAAAAATACTCTCGCACTTCACTGTTATGAGCAGTCATGCTTATGAAAACTTATTGGATGGCTGGTTTGCCCCATCCACCTGGAAACAATGTGTCTTGATAGACATTCATGTCCTCTTATGGGTTCACTTCCCCTTATTTTACTAATTAAATTACAACTATTTGAAACATGGAATTTTATTTGTATTCTCCTCAACTTCTCACATCATTGTGTATTCCATACTAAAAGCCCATGATGGGGCCGGTTGATTAAATTACTTCTGGAAAGCCAAACAGCAGGGCCATTTGAATAATGCATCCAATTTTGACAAGTGTCCTTCAGCTTTGTGTTCCAGATAGAGTTAGTCCTCATGGTTTGACTGACTTTATGAATAAATTATGGTCACATGTTATTCACAACAGATTTCATGAGCAGATGTTTACTTGGTAGCCAGGGGAGTAAAATCAATTTGTTTCCAATTTAATGAAGGGTTTTAGGTGTCTGTAGGCGTGTTGAGACAGCAACACTGTCTGCTCAAGAATTACACAAATGAGCTCCAGAATAAAAATCTAAAAACACCCCAAGTGATTTCATGTGCTTTCAGTTATTTGAAATTCAATGGTGACTCCTGTATATCTAAAAGTATTGTAACAGTTTTGGATTATTGCCTAAAATATGCCTTTAGGCGAACATACATTTTATATACTTACACATTTTTTAAAGCAAGTTAATCTTCACAGGCGAACAGCACTTTCATGCTTTTTGTATTTTATTTTTGCAGAACACAACTTGAATCACTTAAGCTTGTGTTCACCAAAGAACGTTTTTAATTTAACATCACCCATTCAAAAAGCCCATTAACTTAAATATACTATACATTCTGCCTTTGACTTTCTTTGAAAGAAAATATATTTCACCACTTTTTTAATACCCACAAATATCAATATCCGTCAACAACCAAATATGTTTCAAACTCACTAGCACAATCAAGGACATTAGAACCTTATATACAAAAATCTTCTACCTATTTATGATTTCCATCATTTCCCCCTCTCATATTTTTTGTTTGAAAAGGTTTCTAACTAAGTTAAATGACCAGGAAGTATCTAAGTGCAAAGGACATCCTAGCATATGATACAATGGATAATCCTTTACCAAAGTAAAGCTAAACTGCATGGCTGCGGTCAAATTGTCCAAAACAATTCTGGTCCTATGTCTTTCCCTCACCACTTTTCCTTTAGCTCTTATCATTCATCCACTTAGGTTCTTCTGGGTCATTTCGCTCCGTTAGGAACCTGCCTAAGCAGAAAAAGTAAAAATAAATTACAGGACCTTGTCTGAGCATAATTGGATTCTCTTAACACTGTAGTGGTCTTTTCCTAATGAAATACTCAAAAGGAAAACTGGTTAGAAAAAGACATGTGATTGATTTGTTTTCTAGTGGACCGTAGCCATCATTTCTGGCTTGAACTTTTTGTTACAATTACCCCTTCAGTAAAAGCACATGTCTTTGCCCCACAAGAAATGACCGTCTGTTCATCCCACACGCTTTCTCATACACACTCATTCTTTACCCTGTTGCCACATACAAGTACCATCCTGATGGTGATTACTGGAGTTTCTTGATATGCCCAGACACCCTCACAAACTTGAAAGGCATCCTTTCCTATCTCAGCCACCTTTCCCTTACTTCCTCTTCTGCCCACTGACACTGACATCTTCCACTTCACCGGTGGTTAGCCTCTCATGGAAAAGCAATCACCATAAATCGTGATTTCTTTTAGGCTGCGCACTCAACAGTCTCACTTGCTCGTATGGATTTCTCTCTGCTCCTACAGTTCTAATCAGTTTTTCAAGTAGCGTCACTTAAAACGTTGTTTTCCACCCACTTGCTGGCTTTTCAATCTTTTATGTCAGTGGTTCAATTGTCAAGTTAATCCCCCCTCTATAAGTTCAGCATGTTACTCATCCCTGCTTAAGTTCTAGGATTCTGTGAACATCATTTTAAAATGTACTCCAAATAACTAGAAAAATTAGCCAAACTTGATCATATTATCCCTGCACCTGATCTTGATATTTGCATCCCCCAAAGACAACAAACTCCACACTTTCTAAATTAAAAGTCAACACAACCTTCTTCCCATGTCGGATTCTGAATCAAATGAAGGTTTATTGCCAAGTCAGCTGTCCACATACTCATTAAATAAATCAAACAGAAAGCAAAATATTGCTAATGTCAAGAAACAGAGTAACATTCAGTGGCTGGAGCACTGTACACTACTGTAACTTAATACTTAGATTGGAGTTGGAGAATAATTGTTGAAGCCAATTAGCGCTCTGGGTTTAAAAGTAGGAACCAATGTTTAATCAATCGGGTTCCACCGGATTGCCAAAACGTTTTTGAAATGTAATTTCGTATGGTGACGGAAGCTGATTCAAGTTTAATGGACAACAAAAGTGGAAAATAAATGGACTAAAGGTTCAGCTAGAAAAAATGCTATCTGACTTTTATTCACCAGACGAGCTAAAGTGTACGTCCATTACGTAATCAAAGCAGCACCTCAGCGGCTTAAAGCGTTGGCTTAGCCTCTACAATAATTCGTTTTGAACCCCTGATTATCAAAATGTTATTGTACTTGAGATTGAAAAAAAAAAATACAACTACATGGCATTTATAAGGGCATGCCTGCTTTGCATTATCCACTTTGTGCTGTAATAAATCAGGAGCTATGAGGTAAGTGACATTCACAAGAGAACACTTTCTTACTCCTACATATGTTATTATAGATCATAGTAAAATACCCTCTAATGGGTGCAAGTACTCTAGATTTATACCTATGAACGGCACACACTTAAACAGTTCCAAAATAAACAGCAGGATCATGCTTATGACTATTGAAGTCAGACATACCAGTCGTATTGGATTATTGTAAAAAAAAAAAAAAAAAAAGGCAATACATCCACAAAACCTTTATTTCTTTAAAAATGTATTCAAATATATAAACAATAAATAAGCAGCTTGTATCATTACACAGCAAACAAAAGTAAAGCACCAAATGCAGTATCTTTCCATCTTCATTCTGAAATTATAATTTGAACTCATCACCGTGTGAAATGGTGCTCCGTAATCTTTATATATTATCTCCGAGGTTTGGCAAACAAATAATTTATTCAGTGAGAAAATCAGGGATTTGCTCACTGAATAAATTATTCTAGAGTTCTAGCAGCTGAAAGCAGCATCCCCATCAAATGACATTAACAGATGAACACCTCTTACTCAATTCCCCAGGGACTGTGACAGGCGGGGATAATATCAGCATACATTTAATTGTGAAGTGGAATACTTTCAGTGACTAGGTTGAGTCACTTTAGGGGAGCTTTAGCAGCACAATAGCCTACTCAGCAGCCAGGGGTAATGTATTTGATGTGTTTTATATTCTCTTACAGACTAAAGGTGTACCGCTGTTCCCATGCATGGACTGCAGCTGTGTGTTCAAGAAGCTGGGCAGTCTGAATGCCCACATCAGCAAGATGCACATCTCTGTGATTGAGGTTCCCTCAGACACTCCAGTAAGACACTGAATGAGCCCTGCTTTACTTTAGTATATTCAAGTTAATGTTAATTATTTTGACCCTGGTGAATAAGGTTAATACATTTAATGCAGATACACTTTAGACAGGTCCAGTTGAAAACTCAATCGAAGGTAGGTGTAACCACACAAGAAATGCTCTTGGTGTATAATGGTTATCTAATAGTCAATAAAAGAACATTGCAAGCGTCTTTATATACACATAGCCGCATTTTGATTTATTTAATTGTCCTTGATGCAAGATTAATCAAAGTATCAATGATTCAGACTGGTGTAGACCCTAATTACCTCACTCTTCAATAACGTCCTCTGATTTTCATTCATACTGCAGAGAGGCCCTTCTAAATACTAGTCAGCTCTCCAATTTCGACCTGTCCTGATCTTGTCTAAAGCTCTTTGTCTTTTTGCCCAAACCTCACTCTATTCCTCTCCTCCTCCCCCCTCAGGAGACAGAGAGCACAGGTCAGGGTCCCGGGGGGTCGGAGGCCGGCGAGGGGGTGACAGATGTCATCCAGCAGCTCTTGGAGCTGTCTGAGCAGGTCGGCGGGGACGCAGCGCAGCCCCATCCTTCGGAGCCAGCTATTGCCATGGAAACTGCCATTAACCAGGACATCCTGCAGGTGAGCAAAGCACATTCAACCACACTACATCAATTGGGTGATAACAAAAAGTAATCAGGTCTTAAAGTTGACATAAAACACAATACATAAAACATAACAAAAAACTAAATAGATATCAAGATCGTACTTCTCATCTTCATACTTGGGTGTAATGATAGACTGTCTGCTATCCAAAGACAATTGAATATATCTGCAAAAATACAAACAAACACTTTATTTCCTTTACCACTTTTAAGGGGAGTAGACAAATTATTTTTGTTTTTAACATCTATGATTCTGATTACTCTACAGTATTACAATAATGCATGTTACAAGTGTTTGTCCACCGCTTTTAAATCAAAACTGCTCCACCGAATGAAAATCTCCACAAAGATTTAAATCAATCAAATATAATTTCATATTGAGAAGAGCCAAAAACATTTTCTTGAACTATGTCCGATCCAATCGGCGATCCAAGGCCCCCAGATTTAATTAACTTGGACTTGGCAGTCTCTAGTGTACCAGTCCATAATACAATTAAATTGGAATTAGGAGAAGAATCCTAGGATCCTGAGATTCTGACTTTTTTTCTATAAAGTCTGACTTAAGTCTCAGAATTCTGTCTTTAATCTAAGAACAAAACAAATAAATAATAACATTTGGTAAGATAAAAGAAAAATGCACATGTGGCACTGATCTTCTCCCATATGATTATCATCTACAGCAGTGGTTCCCAACCTGGGGGGCGCCATGCCTCAGATGATTTGAGGCCAAATATCATATTCAGACTTTTTTTTATGTAAAATTGTTTTACATATAATTGTAACGCAATGCATGATTGTCACTAAAAGCCTTGTCTCCACATTACAATAAAATATAATAATTAATTGATTAATTTATTTGAATACAAATTCAAGTTAGTAGCTAATAAAGGCATAAAAAGACAGAAATGTATAATTCTTTCTTTAATAGAAATGTTTCTTCTGCGCGTAGAGTGTCCAAACCAGGCATTTTTAAAAACATACTGTAGTCATTGTCCATGCCGATTTCAGTTGGATTATTTGTCACAGTTGCTCCGATCAGATCGGTCTCCTCCATTTTGTAGATTATTTACGACTTTTGAATCCACATAAACACATTGGCAAAATCCGGATTACTTTAAGTGTTTTAATCCCTTTGTGAATTGTTTCCACTTGCGTCGTCCTTAGTCCAATAACCATCAAAGTCACTCCAATAGTGCTCCTTAATTACACTTTCATCCTCCTTTAACAAAATACCCCCCAAACTTTTCTATGGTCAGTTTTCTGAGCCACCATACAAAGGCTTTATTGTGCACTGCAGCATGCCGAACACAAATACAGGCTATAATAACACATTTAAATTGAAAGGCTTTATTTGTCACATGAACACAAGCTACAGGGCTGCTACTTCACTACCTCACACTGTAACAACCCTGTTGGGAAATGAGTGCGAGATGCAATTTATACTTTTTTACAATGAATTTGTGTCATTAATGGCTTCTACTTTACTACTTTCATATGTTCACATATAATATGTTAATCTGCTTCTTATTTCTTTTTACTTTTATTGGCAATTTCTCTTTGCTATGACAATGTACATTTCCCCACTGTGGGACTAATACATGATTTCTGATTGTAGTTAAGGCTTGTTCTTAGCCAAGATGAAGGAAATTATTTGCAACCCCTACAGGCTGGTAAAATGGCGTGGCATAGGCCTGGCGGAGTTTATTATTCTTTAAGTGATTAGGTGTTGTATGTTATTTAGGAAACATTCTATTGTAGGATTTGACTCGCATTACCCTTAATGTAGATTGTGTTACATGAAGGCGTTTTTAAGCTGTGGTGTTTGAGCAGTTTTTCTTATGTTCCTTTCGTAGCAAGCTCTGGAGAACAGTGGGCTGAGTGTGGTCCAGCCGCAGAGCGACAACACATCCAGAGAGAACCAGAGCACGGAGGGCAGAACCGGAGAGAGCAGGAGAGTTCAAATTCACGACAAACCATTCAGGGAAAAGAAAAGGAGCATTTTCAAGAAACCCATACAAATGCCAGGTAGGAGCGGTATTACACGACATTCACAAAAGCATCTTATCACAATGACGAGAGATTTTGACATAGTGTTGAAGTTCAGTAGGTTTGTTGTTGCCTTTCAGTACAATTATTAATGAATTCACGACTTGAAACTAAGACATTTTAAGTTAGATAACTAATAAATCAGTTCAGTTATTTATGAATAAATCTGTTACACATTTGCAGATAGAGTGAGATAATTTGAAGATGTGTTTGCAATATAAGGTTTTGATGTAATTATAAAAGGAAATGACTGTTTAAGGACTCTTAATTAAAGGGGACCTATCATGCCAAATGCACTTTTGTACGTCTTTTAAACATGCATATGTGTCCCCGGTGTGTCAGGGAACTCACCAAGTGTCAGAAAACACAACCCTCTCTCTCTTCCTCCGTACCCAAATCTCTAAAAACGGGGCTGCAACGGAGCTGATTATTATTTGAATTTTTCTGACCTCAGAAAAGGGGTGCTCCGCCTATATGGGCAACTCTCCACCTATCAGTATAATATATGTTTCAAATATAGCATGATAGGTCCACTTTAAATATGGAAAATTCCATATTTGGTTACCATCATATTTCGTAAATATCTTTAGGTTTTGGACTGATAAGACATGTGAAGGCTTTGAAACTGGGGCCCATTTTTCAGACATTATATAGACTAAGCGATAAATCAAGAAAATAATCGGCATAGTAACATCTTCAAATGCAGCCATACTGTAGTTTCTTTCTCAATCCCACATACTGTAAATATGCAGTAAAAACGCAATAGAGCTTAAAATGAGTGTTTATCCACAAAATAACCCATGTTTGAGTTACATTTTCTATACAGGAAAGTGCTTTTGGTTTAGTTATTTCACTGGATTTATTAACTGTGAGAAGTATAGGAAATGGCCGGCCTTATCGTTTAACATCATTTAGTCGTCAGCCTCAAGGTGCCATTCAATCTTCTAGTCACCATCCCTTCAGTGATTAGAACCACTCCCCTACTGTGTCCATAACCCCGGGCCATTTTAAATGTCAAGTATGTGGGTGAGTGAATTGGTCAAGGTGAAAATCTGTTAAGGCAGGTGAGAAGAAGTCTAAAGAGAGAAAGGGGGGTGAGAAGGGCGAGATAGAGATGTATAGTAGCCCACGGCAGCGTGACGCGGAGCTATCGATCTGAGAAGGTCAAACGGAGGGGAAGCAGTTAGCTCGTTGTTGATTAGCACTGATAAGCTAACACCGCTGCATCCCCTCTGGCTGCCCTATTATTTACTGCTCCTCCTGCAGGGGAGCATAACAGCTGATAGATGCTTACCGTGAAGGGCCAACTACTGTCTACCAAATGACTTAAAAGCTAATTAATCCCTGTGCAGCAAAAGTGAGATCATTAAACAAATTCTGGTGAAGAAATGGTGAAAAATCCATTCTGCATCAGTGACTCATCCCACCATCTTTCACTTCCTATTCTTTTCCTACACCCACCCACCCCCACCTCACCCCTCTCCCTATCCAGTGCTGTCTTTCCCCTCTCCCCTCTCCCCTCTCTCTTCTCTCCACTTCTCTCCTCCCGCGGTTGTCATGCCAACTTCCCAGGAGACAGCGTTGTCATGGATACCGAGCAGCAGGGCAGATCAGCTGATGTCTGGTGTCGTTCAGGCATGTGCACAAATCGCTCTCCTGCATGTGCGCTCTTTTCCTCCCCTGTTTCCCTGTTTGTGATCCCTGCGGCTCTCCATTTCCTCGCACTCTTTCTCGCCTCGTGGGCTGGTTCTTTTCATTCATCCGTTGATCCCTTTCACTTCAGCCTGGTTTTTCAGCACCTACAAACTCCACAATGCAGTGTGGTTGTATAGACTTTGTTTATAAAGACAATATTATGTAATTCTTAGGCATATGCTACAAAAATGTAGGTGTCTGTTGTCTGTGATAAACAGTCAAATAATGCAAAACATTTGACACAAGACCACAGAGATAACATGGTGAGGCATAGCCCTGTTAATAAATTCATACAGAGGCAGGGGGACAATATTTCTAGGGCTGCAACAAAAATGTCTTCATTATCGATCAATGTGCAGATTATTTGTCTCGATTAAAAGATTAAAGGGCTCAATTATGCTAATTTTCAGGTTCTTATTTGTATTTTGTGCCTCGACTGTGACATGTGTCCATGCTTTAAAAAGGCACAACAACCTATACAACACACTACAGGAAAGGGGAAACCCCTAAAAGCATAATAGGTCCTTTTTTAATCACTTTGGTCATTAAAATGTTCATCCCAGTTTCTCAAGGGCTCAAGTAATGTCCTTTTGTCCGTCCTACAGCAAAATATATTTCATGAAATTAAAACATCGAAATGCAGGACACATTCATATTTTAGTGGCCCTTTTTGTATCAAATTAGTTTCAAGAGTAATCGATTGCTGCTGCTCTGCAGTTGCCTCGTAAACATCCCTTGCTGATGCCCTCATAGCCTTACAACATGAAGAGCTACAGACACTGAAGCTTATTTTCTTATTTTAATTTAATGACAGAGCCCCCACCCTTTGTACCTGCTGCTTTTATCTTTACAGTACTGTTGGGATGTGTTATATAACCACGAAGCTCTTCCCATAGTAAGTATGCACTGGGAGAACCTGCCATTTAAATGATGTCTTCAGAGCACTTCACTAAAACATTGTGGTCCAGTCCGCACATTGACAGTGCTTTCACCAAAACACACCCACAGGTGTTGCTGTTTGGGAACATGACATTTATTAATGCAAACGAGACATTAGCAAACTATTTAGTGAAGTCCTCCTGTGTAACACAAACGTGTCCCTTTGTAATATCCCCCGTTAGCCATTCAGTGTGATTCAAAGAAAGAGCTAGGATAGGATATGCATAGTATTTCCAGATTTTTCATAAATATTTAGAAGTGTAAAAGACTCGTAAATCTGAAATCTGAAAACATGTTGCTTTACAACTTTAGAGCATATGACACATTTTGTCTTAAGAGCCGTGATTTAAGGAAGGAAAACTCTCCCCAAATGTTTTTAAACTAAATAAAGTGCACTAAAGTAATAGGTTGCTAACATACTGTATGGAGTATACGGATCACGGATGACGTAAAGTAAATGAACCATACAACCTGAGTCATACAACCTCCTTTCCATCATGTAGACCTTGAAAGATAAGAGACTACTCAAACACATAACAGGCTAAACGTATCCATTCACACATGTATTAAAAAGGAGAGATAAAAGATCAAAACATGAATTTCCTAAAGGACAACAATCCAAATCTAATCTACTCATCCAAAGAATAAACAATTACAATCATTGAGGCTTCTTTCCTGATATCTAATCGTATCTCTAAAAGCCCTTTATAAACTGTATTAAAACATTTCAAATCTGTTGGCGCTAATCCCAATCTGTGATCTTTGATGCTTCACGTCATTTCAAAACGTGAAGCTGCCCCTAACCAAGCCAATGTCTTCTAGGTAAACCCTGTGGTTAACTGTCAGCCCATCACTGCAGTAGTAATGTACTCAATTCTTTTTTTTCTTTTTTTTTTACAAGTCTTTTTATTTCATTATAGTGTACAATAATCGATGCCATTTCATATATTGTAATGTCACAGCACACTCACTACACTCCCCCCTCCCTCCCTCCACCCGCACATGCCCACACTGACGAAACCAAAAACATTTATAAAAAAAAAAAAATGCTTATCAATATAACTTAAACAACAGAGCCATGAAAATGAAAATAAACATAAAACGAAAAAATAAATTAAAATAAATAATAATAATAATAAACCCACATCAAAGTAAAACAAGCGAATAATTATACAATTAATTATACAATACAGCGACAATATAGACAATGACAACACAACTAGTATTTCCAGCTGTCAGGAAAAATAGCCACAGAATGCACCATTCCATCACTGGTCATATCTCAGATATATTTTCCAAATATGAAAACAATGGCAACCACAGAGCTTGAAAGATATGTCCATGATTATATTTCCAATGTCATTTTCTCAGAGGTAAAAAATGTGTTTATCATGATCAAATGAAAGTTTAAATGTTGGAGGACGTTCATTCTTCAGAGTAAAAGTATGACATTTCTGGAAATAATGTTATTGTGATTAGTATTCTATAACTGTTTGGGGTTCAGTTTAAAGTTTGGCATATCATTTACAGGAAAAAAACATGGGATTTTGGCTCATTTTCGATGCATAAAACGTGCATTTGTGAGCGCTATGAATCAAATCCCAGAAAATGTTTCAAGAGATCACAGTCCAAAACAGATGGCATAAAATGTTCCTTTCTTATTACTTTACATCTCGGACATTTTGGGAAGAAGTTTTCTTTGGAAATGTTATACAGTCTTTATGGGTGTGAGGTTAAATTTGTTGAGAATGTAAAGTTTGCCTTCTCTATGATTTTATTTTCTTGTGAATGGGAAAATGTGTTCTTTCAACAGATATTCAGCCATGTAGTTTTCATCTATCTGTATTCCTTAAGTCCTTTTCCCAGATCTTTTTTTAAAGTTGGGAAAGGGATGGACTGAGACTCTTTTAGAAAGAAACTGCATTAAATTCTCTAATTTTACCTTTGATTGTGACTCGATGACATCATATCTCCCTCCTCTTTCAACAATCCGATCTCAATTTATTCGCTTTTAATAATTGATTGGATCACGTTCCTAATTTGCAGGTATCTGAAAAATCACNTTTCATATCTCAGCTATTCCTCAAAAAACATGTTTTGGATATCATGCCATTCAAATTTTAAATTTTAAAATGTTTTAGTGTTTGTATTACTACCCCAAGCTTCCATAAGTGGGTCTTTTTGGACCCGGTGAGGTGGTTTTCTTGAAGTATCTTTGTAATTACATTTTTTTATCATTTCATATTCAAGCTATTCATCAAAAAACATGTTTTAGATATCATGCCATTCACATTTTAAGAAATTGTAGTTTTTGTATTACTACCCCAAGCTTCCATAAGTGGGTAAAAAATGACCACACAGACTACATCACAAGTGACACCTCTCAGGAAGATTATTTGACACAGCAAGATCTGAAACCTGTCTGTATAATAATAATAATAATAATAATAATAATACATTATATTTGTAAAAGGATTTTCAAGGACTCAAAATCGCTTTACAATATAAGGGAAGGTTAGGGTGGGGGGTATAGGACTATCAAACTTGATCAACCGGCATGGAGGCTATGAGTAGACAAGAAGAGAAGAGATGAGTTTTGAAAAGGGACTGGAATACTGTGAGGATCTCAGAATAGCGGAGATCTTTGGGACAATATGTTCAAAAAGTGATTTTTCTTAACCAAAATGATAAAAATGGCATAATAACACATATTATTCTAATACGGGTCCTTTTAGACCCACTTATGGAAGAGTTTCGGGTCCAGTCACTCGTGCATCTAAGGGTTAAAAAAAGATCACTCATCAAAAGACAGTAATAGCATAGCTCTATCCTTTTCCAAAGTCCCACTGTTTGCATTTTCTGCCTCATTTATCTCTTGAAAAACATGCTCCAACTCAATTTCACACAATTCTTAAGGATGAAGCATCTCCTTGAGGATTTTCAGCCACTCAGAAAGCTAAACCATCTATTTCAAAAACACATTTTAGCATACACTGTCTCACAGCTGATAAAAGGGCTGTTTTCTTTTAGTTCATGCTTTAATATCACCTTTTTCTATTTACCGCGCTTAGTCCTACAAACAAAAGCACATACTGCATTTATATCTACACGCTCTTATTGATTTCTTTGTGTTTATGCAAAGCAACCGACATCCATTCAGAAACAAAATAAGCTTGTCTAATCCTGTGTTATTTTTGTGCCTGTGAAAAGAAAGAACCTTATGCGACGTTTCCCCCGCACTGCTCTCTCTTTAATACTTCAAGGATGAGAGTGAGAAACAAGGAGCAACTACATATTCATCACTAATCGACCCCTGAGATGACTCTCCCACATGATGAGAGGAATAAATGGGCTTTACTGTCAGCCCAGGCTTCAGCTAAATCAGTTTTCTCTGTGAGCGAGGTTAACAGCTACTTTCATTTAAATCCAGACAGAATTCAGAGTGTTACGGCAAATTAGGCAGAGAGCAGACGGGGTTCCAATATAACTGTCAAAATGGCCCTGGTGTAAATGCTGGACTTTGAGAGCATTTCAATTGGGATTTAAACAATTTAAAGTTAGTAGATAGACATGTTGTAGAAATATCCATCCATTCTGATTTATACATCATTTTATTTTTGAGTGAACATACTGTCTCTTTTATGTGTTTGAGCTCCTCTTTACACTCTACTATTTAATACTTAACTTGTTTTTATATTGTGCTTTTTTATTACACTTTCATCTAGGATTCTTCTCACATACTTTAAAAACGAATTTCCTGTTTTATGGCGTGAGTGAAAACTAAAGTGGATAGCTGATAACCTACAGTGTATAATTTAATGCAACACAAATATAGATGTAGCAAACCTTGAATAAAATGTGATTAGTGTGGGGAAGTCAGACACCGAAATAAATCCATTTTTTATTATGCTGAGCGGACATTTAAAGTTATGGATAGTTGCTGTAAGTTGATGAGGAGGAACAGGATTCGTGTGTCAAGAGGACGTGACTAGTATTAGCAATCAATTTAGCACTAGCATAATAACAGAGATGTGAGTGTCGTATTATTCGGCTGAATCTGGCTTTGAGTAAAAAGTGAAGCCCACAGGATTTGTGTTTATCTTCATTATGTCAGTAGCTGAATTTTTCATGTTTACATTATTTCTTTATTGTGATAGAAAGCAGAGGTTGAGCTGAGCAGGTTACAATGTCGATGGATTTGCAATTGTGTATGATTTCTCTTCAAGGTCTTTTTGCATCCCTGACCTCCATTTGAACTTGTTGAAGAAATTGCTTATTTGCATTCTATCGATTTTTGTCTCATTACCTACAAGAGTTTAATGTTTTCGGTTTGTCTGATTTTTTGCAGAATTACGAAAAAACTGGAGGCCCAACTCTTATGAAACGTGGTGTAAGGAAGAGCCTTACACGAATCACAGGGCAGAAACAAAATGTTTGTTTCCCTTTCGTTAACATTGTGATATAGGCCTTCTGGGCTGCCCTCATTTTGCTGAATTCATCTGAAAAATGTGCTTCTTGACTTCTCGAAAGTCAAAACAACTTAGAAACAGCAATTAATGTTTAGCACTAACTAATACAATACAACATATACTGTATATTCCATGTTTTTCACACATTATACTACACTGCGGGCTGGAAAATAGACCAAATAGTACCATCCGTGAAGCATGAGAATCCAGACCTGTCTTTCCCAAAGATCTTATCATGTTTATTTATTTATTTAACATTTCACAAGTGCCGTTTTAAACATGCATTCAATTCCTGTGTATCTGAAGCAGTGAATGAGTCCTCTTCCCTCTGCCACACTCATCCCATTCACACACAGACATAATGTCCCAACCGGTCCCAACCCATATGTGCTTATATGATACACAAAGCAAAAAGAAGCCAAGTTGGATTTTCACTGAGAGCTTTGTTAAGATGCTGCCAGGATCATACCCACATGGTGCGCAGGCCTTTGCCAGATCAACAACTGTGTTGATCTAAGCAACACATCACTAATTACACTGTGAACTACTGGGGCTGGAGCACAACATAAAATAAAAAGACCATAAAGCAACAATGAGAGCAGATATAAAATGTCTCGGCTGTCTTTGGAGCCTCATTAAGGTGTGTGACAGGTGGAGAGGTTAGCCATCCAGCCACACACACACAGGCGCATAAACACACCATAAACACAGTTTGTGCTTCTCAACCAGTGGAGCAGACTGCGATGAC